CCCCCCCCCCGCGGCTTTGTCTCGGGAACATTATTCCTGAATCGTTTGTTCTCACAGAATCCGGCCGGCTGGTGCGGTCCGGCGTCCCCGCCCAGGTGGACAAGTGTCCTTCAGCTGAGTGGTCAGTGAGGCCGAGCGGACGGACCCACAGCGGGCAGATGGCCGCCGCCTTCACACCCAATTACAACCAGCAGCCCTCCACAGCTCGGCCATACGGACGGACCTGCAAGGAGGCCGAGCGGGTCCAGAGCTGATGGGGGGGGGGGGGACGGGGGACGGGGGACGAGAACTGGCCTCCACGAGGAACAACGTGACCGAGCTTGACGCGTAAACGGAGCGTCTCTGTATCCTGAGGACGGATCTTAAGCCACAAATAAGGGAACAGACGTCTCATTGGTCGGTTTATAAACGATAGTCAATTAAATTAACAACAATTCAACCTCACCAGAAACAAAAGGGAAAATACAGTATTTCAGGAATGATCAATTATATCAAAGTGTAAAGTAAAGAGAAAGCATGGCTTATAAATCAAAGGTTGGGTTTTCTCGCTTTCTTAAATCAGGCTCTAAGCAGAAGAATTGGCAACGCGTGCAAAATTCCATCAAATTTGCTTTCAAACGGACTGAAAAATAGAGCACATTTATTCTATTCCGCCTGTTTAGACATAAACAAGAACAGCGTTTTCTACATTTGCTTTCCTGCTTGATTTATTGCCATCCTCCTTTCCAGCAATCAATTTCTGTGTTTCAGTGGCATATCCCCCCCCCCTCAGACCCCCCCAACCCACTCGGCCTCGACGGCTGTTTGGGAGACGCAGTGCTGCACCCTGCTGACGGACGGGAGGAGCGCAGCGTTCTCACATTAACACCACCACCTATTTAGTCCCTCGTGACGTAGGATCTCCATAACGAACCCTCAGTGGGAGCATCAGATCACATCGATCCCTGTGTGTGTGTGTGTGTGTGTGTGTGTGTGTGTGTGTGTGTGTGTGTGAGACTGAGATGACTGACACTAAAACGAGTGTCCGACTGGCAGAGACTTCATCAAAAAGGTGATCTATAGAGTAATAAGTGAATAAAGGTTAAAGGTTAAAATAACGACAAGCTGTGGCGACATTTTCACTCCTTTTGTCCAAAACGCTGATAATCAGTTTAATGTAAAACCAGAAATATTTAGTTTAAGAAGCTGAAACGTTTTAAAAATGTCCTAAATGCTTTATAGATGAGCTGAATTGGCTCGGATTAACTTTATTGTCTAATCCAATAACGGCACCAGCTCCTCCCTGAACAACGAGGTCATCATTTGAACATCTGCGTCAGATTCAGAGCTCCAGCGACGGCACCTGAGAGACGAGGCTGTCAGACCTGCTACGTCTCAGCGCGGCTTCTTTTCCCATCGTCTCTAATAAACGGAGCTTGCGGGGACGGCCGGCAGGAACCCGTCGTCAACACGGAGGACAGTGTCTTCATTACCAGAGGACCAGGGGGGACGTCACGGCGGGAGATTGATGGCGCGCTTTGAGCTATCGGTTATTGTGAATGAAGCACGCGGGTTTATTGGACATCGATTTCCCCTCACCGGCTCCGGCTCGCCGTGTCCTTGTGCCGCCTCCTCACCCCTCCTCTCCTGCTTCCTCCCCGTCCTTTCCTTATTCCTGCACGTTTCCTCTATTCTAGAATAAAACACGAGATCACTCAAAAGGACGACCGGACGGAGGAGAGAGAGAGGGACGAGGACGGCGTGAGAGACAAAGAGGAAGCGAAAGAGAGACAGCAGCGGGGGGGCTTGGGGGGTTTGGGGGGGGGGGAGCAGGAAACAGAGGGACAGAGGGAGGTGTAATTATCTATCAGGTGTTCGGGTGTGCGTGACAGACGAGGAAGCTCATTAGCACACTCTGTGTACACCAATTACACAGCCAGGCGTCTCGGGGCATTCCCCTGGCATGTGTGCACCAGGCCCCTTCCTAAAAGTACACACCTGCTACACAGCGCGCTGCACGACGGCGCGCTGCAAGGCGACGCGCTGCACGACGACGCGCTGCACGACGACGCGCTGCACGACGGCGCGCTGCACGACGGCGCGCTGCACGACGGCGCGCTGCACGGCGACGCGCTGCACGACGACGCGCTGCACGACGGCGCGCTGCACGACGACGCGCTGCACGACGACGCGCTGCACGGCCACGTTACCCACGCTTAGAAAGAAACGAGGATTACCACCCGATGTCAGTTCATCTGATTGGTCGTTTGTGTGTGAAATGGTCAGAGACTTTTTCAGTTAGTCAACAACGGGACTCACAGCGACTTCAGTTGACAAACATAAAATGATCGAATCAAATTGTACGGTGGAGAAAATAAGCAATAAATAAATATGATCTAAGATTTAAAATGAATGAATCATGTTATTGTTTATTCGCGCTCATAAAACAGCACAGAGAGAACATTCACCTGTGGGCGACGTCCTGCCCGGAGGGAACCTCTCCCACGTTGGCCACCGACAGGACGCGCTGCTTGACGGCCTGGCTGGAGGCGTTTGCTGTTGCCATGGCGACGGTTGCCGAGGTCTCGTTCATGCCCAGGAGCTTACCTGATGGGACGCGAAACGTTCGGCTGATCAGACAGGAGCTTCGTTGTAGCTCCGCTGTGGATTCAGTGCGTCTACACTACCGACGGATATTAAAGACACACAGTAGGACTAAACTGCTTCTGTTGGTTATTAAAATGAGGAATTGAAGGCAGTTGATGTGCACTCACTAAGAAAGAAGACTTAAGGGAAAAGAATAAAAATCAATGTGCACGACGAGTCAGGTGGAAATAAGAGAGTCTCAAAGGCAAATATAATAAAAAACGAAATTAATTGGCTTCACTCAATTGGTACAAAGCATCAATTTGCAGCAGAGTTGTTCCACGCGGTGACGCGTCAGAGCCTTAAGCGTGCACTTAAAAACTGGGACACATGCCGAGGGCCCTCAGCTCTACAGGTGTGTGTGTGTGTGTGTGTGTGTGTGTGTGGGGGGGGGGCACCGATAAGTGCTTTATAAGAAGAAAGCTTTGTGACCACAGAGGAGAAAACGTTCATCAGAGGCCTCTAGGATTCATTTCACTGTTTAAACATCACTGATGAATGCTGCATACAAGAGAACGCTAATTTAAAGATTGTGTCACTAATAACTTTAGAGAAAGCGTCTGGTCTCATTTATTTTATGATGACGCACTAGTTTTCACTCTGCATTAATCCGCAGGTGAAAATAGTCCTTATTTTTATCTTATGTAGAAATGGGCACTTGGGGGAAAACCACAGAAAATACTGGACATGATTTATCATTTTGAATTTTTAGAAAATATTAAGGTTACTTAATACAGGGCAGATCTTTTATAAGTATTGAACAGTATTGTGTATTTACAAAGAAAATAAAAGCAAAGGAAACAGTTACTTTGTCACTAACAAACTCACCTTTGCTACTTTTAATAACAAACACTGCTTCCTTTTATAGATCCACGTGCACATTTGGCTTGAAGCTGCACCAGAGGCGCTTGGTGGATCTTTTTCTCACCTTGCTCCCGGCTGAAGTCCTGCTCGCTCAAGCTGCTCGGCATCAGCAGCTCGCCCACCGCCGGCTGGATGGACACGCTGAACCCGTCCTCCTTGGTGCTGGGGGGAGGAGAAGGAGGAGGGGGTCAAACCACCAATCTTTTCACAGGATGGAGCAGGAATCTGACGTCACGCCAGCGTAACGCTCTTCCTCTCCACTCAAACTACGTTACTCGTTGTTTTTGTCGGTGACTTTATTGCATTGATGATGTTGGACAGTGTTGATCACTGAGAAATAAAAAGAATCTCATCAGTTCCTGCGTGACGGCGGCGAGGAAACGGACGACCACGTGCGACTCAGTGTGCGTTTGTTTTGTGCACCTGTCTATTCATGCTTTGCTTGTGTATTAAATGTTTCTCTGAATGTCATTCACAAGTCATTTTAGGTTGGATTGATCCCACCCCCCCATCCTGAACAGACTTTCTGATCAGGTTATCGACCAGCTGAGCCGATGGCATTCAGCAGGCTGATTACTGGCGAATAATTGTTATCCCAGAGAACCCGGATCAATGGCGGCTGATGTCTCACCTGGGGGGCCGCCACAGAGCGGCGAGGAGGAGGAGGAGGAGAACAGAACAGAGATGTGACTCCGTGAGACTCGCCGTGAGAGGGAGTGAAAAAGATGTGCAGGCCGAAGGTCGCAGAGGAAAGGGAACAAGGAGCGACGTGATGTGAGCGGATGTCACGGCGTCTTACCACAGCTGGGAGGTTGGCCGCTTGCGTCGAGTCGCTGAAGTCAATACCCATGGGAAACCGTCACCGAGCCTCCCGCTCCAGCCGCTCTGAGGGGGGGTAGAAAGGAAATCGTGAGTGACAAGGCCACAGTGTGCACCGTGAGAAGGGATGAAGCAAGGGGGGAGGGAGGAAGAGGAGAGCGGGGGGGGGGGGCAGCAGAGTGGAACAGACAGGCATCCACACCACTTGTGTTTTCTACTTCACAAAGCAAGGCCACAGTGTGTGAGAAATCTATCCTTCAATCTCCCCCCAACCCACCCGGACCCCCCCACACCAGGGAACACACACACACACACACACACTTTCAAACAACAGGCTTGTCAAAGAGAGCATCAGGAGGAGACGAGGTGAGGGAGGAAGAGCAAAGTAAAGCCACAGAAAAATGGTTGAAGAGAACGTCTGGACAGCTGAATGAGAGGTGGAGGAGGATGACGGGGTGGAGGAGGATGATGGGGATGATGGGGTGGAGGAGGATGAGGAGGATGATGATGCGTAGAGGAAAAGGATGGGGAGGTGGAGGAGGTGGAGGTTTTGGATGAAAGGAACACAGACAGAATCCGCCTCCTTTTACTGTAGAACTCTTTCCAGACTCCAGAGGAAAAAGAGAACAGAGTCATCAAGGACTCCCTTAAATCCAGAACTGTATATTCAGTATACATATCCTACCTATAAAACCGTATAAATGTATACAACAATCTACGGGTAAATTGTTTAAACATTTAAATGGCCAGTTTGGAGTAAAGCGACTCGTCGAGGCCGTGTGCCACATTTCTCACTAAATACGAGCCCCGTTATTCATCATCCGTTGACAAACAAACACAAAACAGCATCATATTAAATCTGAAACTTCTCCAAACCGACTGCAGCTCCATCGATCTAAATTACACACTGCTTGGCTGCTGGAGCTCCTTCAATGGCCAATCAATGGCCTGCAATCGACAGCTTTAACGTGCTCCCCCGCCCGTCTGTGTCTCTGTCTGTGTGTGTCTGTGTGTGTGCGTAGGTGTGTGTGCACGGGGATTCAGGGGCCTTGTATTGTACAGAGTGCAGCGATCATGCACGAGTGGCAGAGATATGGAGATGGTGCATGTTTTCTTGGCCTGATCGATACTAATAAACAGGGATTAGCCAAAGTAGTATTGGCTGGTGGTGGTGGGGGGGGTTATTTGTTGAGTTGATGGCAAACAGGCTTAAAATGACCATTTAATATCCGTCTGAGAAAACAATCATGGGGCTTGAGAAATCCCAGAGAGTCGTCATGAACGAATGAGAGACGACACGTGTTGCACCGATTGTAATAAATGTGATTGTTTACATCAGAGGGGAGAAAGAAAATCCACTTCTGCGTCTTGAATTCTTAAAGTTCAGAGGCGACTAGCGTCAATTTAAAGAAAATAAAACTCGATTACGGAGAAGATTTCAGGCCACATACTGCAATTTATAATAATGCATTCCTAAAACTGACTTTATTGTGAAACTGGAAACTGGAATAAAATTACAATAAAATCAGAAGACTCCAGACGGTTATTTGACAATAAATAAAATGAATAATTTTGAACGTGTTGGATCACATGTTGGATGATGCTCCTAGAGTCTAATGAGAGTAAATGGCCTATTTGAATGGCCTGTAACGTGTACAGAGGGAGGAGCCTGGTCGGGTAGAAGGAGGGGCTTGTTCAGGTAGAGGGAGGAGCTTGAACGGGTAGAAGGAGGGGCTTGTTCACGGTGAAGGAGGGGCTTGTTCAGGAAGAGGGAGGGGCTTGTTCAGGTATAGGGGGGGCTTGTTCAGGGTAGAGGGAGGAGCTTGTTCAGGGAGAGGCTTGTTCAGGTAGAAAGAGGAGCTTGTTCAGGGAGAGGGAGGAGCTTGTTCAGGGAGAGGGTGGAGCTTGTTCAGGGAGAGGGAGGGGCTTGTTCAGGGAGAGGGAGGGGCTTGTTCAGGTAGAAAGAGGAGCTTGTTCAGGTAGAAAGAGGAGCTTGTTCAGGTAGAAAGAGGAGCTTGTTCCGGGAGAGGGAGGGGCTTGTTCCGGGAGAGGGAGGGGCTTGTTCAGGTAGAGGCGTTCACACCAGCTGCTGGCCTCGTACTCACCGATGGTGTTGAAGCAGTGGATGTTGAGGCTCGCCGGGCTCCGGTCGCCCACGTGGATCTCCTCCAGGCTGCGGTCCGAGCCGTTGCTCAGCGTGACCTGGACGGCCACCATGCCGGGCTGGTGCAGACACGGCTGCCTGGGGAAGTGGTACTTGGCGGACAGACCTTTTCCGGTCATGTGGTGAAGCAGCTCGTAGGTCTTCACGGGGCCAAAGGACGGAGCGGTGACCTGGAGGGAGGGACGGGAGTAAACATCAGCGACCATCTTCCCTCCTACCAGAGAAATGTGTTGATATGTCAATAAACATCAGCAGAGTGACATTGATGCTCTGGTTGCTTTCAAACCCAATCAATCAAAGTTGGAAAAACTAAATAACATGATGGTTTAGTTGAGTTTTATTTGGTTTCTGATCATTACTTAAATAAATGGCGCCTGGAGACGAGGGCCAGGTGCTGGTGGGCATCTTGTGTGGTGGGAGTGGGGCTTTAGTGCTCCATCAAAGGAGAGTAGAAGCAGAGAGGGAAGATGAGGAGAAAAAAAGAACTAAAAAGAACATGCACGACATTACCCAGAAGCCTCAGGCACTACAAATCAACACAATATCCAGGGACGCCTCGTGCATTACAGGGCCAATGCAGCCACACAAAAGGACAGATTAATACAAGAAGCTCCGCTCTCTTCATCGCGTCCAATCAGCTTCCCTCCTGAGTGAAGTGGGACCAAGGGTTGGCCGTTAACTTCCCCCCCCTCCCAACCCTCCCTTCATTAAAGACGAGCCCATTTAAGAAATGTTCTCAATCAGCCCAGTTAGGAGGAAATGGGCTGCATGCTCGGTCAAACCGGGCTGAATAAAAACAACCTCTAATGAATAGAAACACAAGTGCCTGTGGGGGCTTTTACCTTTTCAGAGGCAGGAAATCACATTACCTTTGGGAGTGAGGGAAAATAAGGGAAGGGGGGGGCTGGTGTTTTCTTTATCTCTAAAAAAATTAACATCTCGTTACTCAGGGGAACATTGTTCAGGGTCGACGGCGGCAGCGTTAACGTGAATAAACTGCTCACCTGGAGCACTTCAGGGGCAGAAAAACGTCTCTTTACCGCCTCAGAACGAGAAACAAATAACGAATGTGGCTCCTCAGAGACGCCGCAGCAGCGAGGCAGCGGGAAACACGACCCCACGCGACTTAAGGCTGCGATCTAATGGAGCTAATTGAAGACGACTGGTAATATGATGTGAAGAAGCACGGTGGAAACATGCAGGCGGCGGGAAAGCCGGACGCGTCCGGAGCGCGTCGCGAGGATGAAGAATCGCTTTGACGTGCGGCCGGAAGCTCCGAGGCGGGAAGCGGAACGTTGGAATAAAAGGTGAAGCCACTTCCATCAGACGGCTGTTAGTTGGCGCACGCGTCACGTCGGAGGAGAAGGACACTCATGAGGACGTAAACAGCAACGCCCGAAACCTTCCAGGCCAGAAGTCTGGACGCTGACCTGCTGCACGTGCACGCTGAGCCAACCGCACCCATGTGACCGAAGTGCACGCAGACCTGCCCTCTGATTACCCACGAGGCACCAGGACCTGCAGAGCGGAGGCTCCTGTGTGACTTCTGGAGGGATTGAAGTCTTTGGCCCCGCCGATCAAAGCTCTCTGAAAACAATCCCCTGCAGACGTGGCGGGATAAAGTGTGCCCTCGCCGCGGCGGAGGAGGTCAAAACAAACACGGGGCCGGCGCGCCGTGACGGCGCCCCGCCCCCTCACGAGTCGCGGGGGCCCGCATGTTTACCGGGGGCCGCTTTCTGAGCGCGCCGGCGTCGATAAAGCCGGCTGTAATGTTTGCCGGAGATTTACCTCCCTGACAGACACATCCGGCTCCAAGGTCCCGCCTCGTCGTCCCCGGCGACGGGACGCAGGCTTCAAACGGCTTATTATTGCCGATTTGACACGAGTGGACGCTTAAAAGTCCGACGCCGGCGCGCACCTCGTCAATCCGTTGTTGTCCTGTCATGCGAAGTGTAAATAAGAACAGGGGGGGAGGCGGGGGGGGGGGGGGGGGGGACCTTGTATTTCTCCCCAAAATTCCCCACTCTTTTTTTTGCCCCACCAAGGAGGCTGGGGTAAATTGATGACAGATATTTTTTTTGAAAGCCCCCTGTTGGCCCCTCCTAAAAGGATGCCCATGAATACGAGGTGTCTCTAACAGTCGCGCCCTAAATGGGGGAGCGAGGACCCACTCGCCAGTTTCACTCTTGGCGATGACCTGAAAATCCCGCTGACGCGCTCAAACAGAAAGAATAAGCGGGCTTAGCGGGAGCCGGGTAGCCTTGTGCCGCGTGCATACGAGGGGCATCCGCGGCGTGGGGGGAGCAGAGAGACGTATGGGCGCATATTGAAAATCCATTTCTGTTTTTCGACGGCAGAGACAGGGTTTCATTACGCGCGACAAGAGTTGTGAGGATGGAGGTGAGGGACGTGTGTTCGACTTTAGCGCCTAATTGTTCCCTCAGTCAGGAGATGACAATTAATTGAGGGGCGTCACAAAGACCTTGACTTCAAATTGGATTAAATAAATGTTACTACGGCCGTCTAGAACTACTTCAGTGCAACATGAAGTCTCTCCGGCGCACGCAGACAGAGGTTACTTCATTTAGGCCAATTTGTCAGTGAATTACGGTTTTAAAATCATTAATTTTTGAAATTTTCCATTAAAAGAAGATTAGCAATAATAGAGGAGTGTTATTCAGAAACAGTATTGTCCTTCATTTGGCTTTGCAAGTATTGTGAGCGAACTGTTTCTTTGTATGAGCAAGATATTTAATGTAGAAAAGAATATTTCATAGAACAAAAAGGATGAAACTCAGGAGGGTTTTTCAGAAATGATTCATTGTCTGTCTGTCAATTAAATGTTAGAAAATACTGAAAAACCCAAAGATATGAACATGTTTAAAATATATATACATTAAATATGTATCTTCCGGAGATATCTGATTAAAATGAACTATTACTATCAAACTTTTGTTGACTAATTGGCTTATCGAAACTATCGTAGATAACTATTCACTTCACATGAGTCTACTTTATACTTCTACTCTACTTCTACTACATTGCAAAAGGATAAGATACTAGAATATATATATATAACAATATAGTTATAATATAATTAAATAAATAATTAGGTTCATTTTTCTGTTCTATTCCAACAATCTCGCACACGAGACGCTTTAATGCAACGACCTTGTGAGTATTTGTTGGTACTTTTACGTCCTCAGTGGAAAACACAAACCAACGGCGTCACGTGACGTCATATTTACGTCAAAACCCCTAAACTCCGCCTACAGCGGTTAAATGACGGCGTACGGATGAGAAGAGGGACTCGAAGTGACCGCGAAACAAACAAACGCCACAAGACAGAAAAGACTGAACACACACACACACACACACACACACACACGCGCACACACACGCGCACACGCACACGCACACACGCACGCACGGCGATGCAAAGAAATGCTGCAACAGCTGCATTAAAACAAAGTATCCACCCGGTTGCCTCCGTGTGGCCATTTATTCCTGCTTAAGAGGCAATCTCCTCCGTTTGAGTGGCAGCGGTAGGCCGGGTGGGGTGACGGGTGGGGTGACGGGGGGGGGCAGGCCGCTGTATTGGAGGCGCTCGGGGGTCCTTCTGCTGATTCATAATTAGACGTGAACCCCGGAGCTCCCGCCGCCGGGGGGGTCACGGGAGTGAGGAGCGAGGAGGAGGGGCCGCCTGATGGACACCAAATGAACAAATTATGATGGCCCCCTCTGGGCGTGATGGGGTCAAACGCCGCGCGCCCCGCCGCTGACAGTTCAATTTCCCCCGCAAAGCAGCCCCATTCGCCGACTGCTAATTATGAATGAAAAGTTATCTGCCTCCCCCCCCCCCCCCCGCGCACACGGACAGCGGTCGGAAGAGGTTTTGGGGCGCGTTGGGGGGGGATTTAAGAGGCATTTGTGAGAGATCCTAATGTCAAAATGTTATTAGAGAGAGCGGTAGCATTGGGGGCCGGGGAGGAGACGGAGGGGGGGGTCAGAGACAGGCACCAGGGTTAATCTAAATGCCTTTGATAACCATGCAGTAATTCTCTAAAAGGCCCGAGCGCTCAGCTGAGACACACAAGCCGCCTCTGAGGGCAGATTGCTGAGAAATAGAAATGACACAGGGGCCAGAGAGAGTGTGTGTGTGTGTGTGTGTGCGTGCGCGTGGGAGGGGCGAGTGTGAATAAAGGGGAGGTTATTTACCCCGGTCTATGAATCCCGATGCCCATCATGTATTTATGCATAGAATTGACTCTAAATCAGATGTTGATGTGCGAAAAGTTCCCTGTTTTCTAATCTGCATTTCTATTCTCCATTACTCCACGGCCTTCACCTGAGGGGCGGGAGGGGGGGGTAACAAGACTCGCACGCTGGTCTGAGAGCAGCTGTCAATCACACTGACAGGCAGGCGGGCACTCTGAGAATACAGAGCGACTCAGCGTGGAACCGTCTGCATGCAGGAGGACTAAAAAGTGGACTAAAAGCATCTTTAACGCAAAGTTGTCGTGAGTTCTCACCTGTTGGTGCACATCCGACCCAATGAGGCTCACGTGATGCAAAAGACTTCTACATTTCACTACACGTCACTTAGCTGATGCTTTTATCCAAAGCGACTCACATTACATTTTTAACCCACGGTTGGGTGTCTTGCTCAGGGACACGGAGCAGCCGGGGTTCGAACCAACGCACCCGCTCTACTCAAACAACAATAAAAGCTCCTAAATGGAACACTGATATAACAAATGGTAGCTGGTATATGTAAAAATATATAAATATATTTATAAAATATATAATATAAATTACACAGCCACTAAATAAAAGGAAAACACGAGGTGGTCAAGTTCAGACCTCCAAAATAAAATCCCCCCCACTAAATCTTTGTGAGTGCAGACAACATGATTTACTTAATTCATTGCAAATTTAATACATTTGGTTTTTTAATCTTTCCTAAAACCAAACTTTGCGCTCTGGGCTTTTTATTCCCAATTGATAACATGAAAATGTTTCCATGGATTAATTCTAAAGTAAACGAATCGCTACATGAAGCTTTAATAGCCACGCAACAAACCACCAGTAATAAAACTGCACATTTCAAAATAAAGGCTTCCAAAGTGCAGAGTTACCACGTACACTAAATAGACAGCAGCAGCAGAAACAATAAGCTGACATGCGCTCCTCCTCCCC